AAGAAAATGATAAGGAACCATGAGAAAGAAAAGGAACAGGAAATGAAAAGGATACACGAGAAAATAAAGGAACGAAAATGATAAGGAAACATAAGAAAGTTAAGGAAAAGGAAATGAAAAAGTAATATAAAAAGTAAAGGAACGAACATGAAAAGGGAACATAAGAAAGATAAGGGACAGTAATATGAAAAGGAGAAGTAAGAAAAAAATGAAAGGAAAATGAAACATAAGAATGAAAAGGAAGGAAAATGAAAAGGCAACAAAAGAAAGAAAATGGAATGAAAATTATAAAAGCGAAACATAAGAAGGAAAAAGAAACAAAAGAAAGAAAAGGAAAGAATTGTAAGAAAGGAATGAAAAGAAAATATTTTGGAAAATAAAATGAAATGATTAGACAAATAAAGATAAGATAGTTTAATAAAATGGTAAAATGAGAAGATAAGTGGTATAAAATGATAATACTTGCGTTACTTTTTCGTGTGATGTCTGTGGCTCTTGTTTGTTCTCTCCTGTTGTTTTTTTTTTAGACACTGCGCCTTGTGCACCTATTTTGGTGGAGATGTTTTGCGCTATAAAAGTCGCTATTATTATTATATTATTATTAAAGCATTTTCATGAAAAAAATTAATGAAAACATTTTATCGTATTAAGGTAGACGTACAGTGACGTACCGATTCATAATATTTTTTGTGGTGATGAATGTATAATCTATTATTAAAAACACCCGAAAAGTTAAATATATATATATTTTTATTCCTAAATTAAAAATTGTGATGAATTCTCAATTTATAAAAGTAAATAATATTGTAACAAATCATATTCACAATGTCAAACAATAACAGAAGATAACAGTTCAATTAAATAAATTTGGTTTGTTGCTATTATGCATTAATTATTAACTGTTAAAAAAGTTTGCTATTAAAATATATATCTAGAAAAAAAAATGAAAACAGTTATATATACAATGATAATTAAAAAAACAGAGAACAGAAATTTGCACCATTTAAATTCAAGTCCATGTCAACGCTGATGTGTCTCGAGCGTTGTATTGCGCTTTAGATGCCTTACCGTTATGGATGGTAAATATTTTCAGCCTACAAAAACTAGGATTTATATTGTAGGAACATTAGGTTTGATGATATATGTCAGTGCCCTACCATTCGTTGGGATTGGTAGCTATGAGATATTATCTAATGAACCTGTCATTCATTACAAACACATTTATGTTCCAAGTGATCCTGCCATTTACACAGTTCATTTTGCCCTATATAAATTCTGTGGTAATTATCGGCGCCGCTTGAATTATCAAAGTAATTTTCGAAATTTACGTTATCTCATAAGTGAACACTGCTGCTAGTATAAATCAAACACCATAACTCAGGAACCAAGAGATGAAGAGGCAAACTAACATCAGTAAAACAGTAACGGTGATTATCATTGTATTCGCAATATGCTGGGTTCCTTGGCTTTTAAGTCTGTATTAGATTGATATTTTCTTTATAAGTAATTTAATTGTTTATCCTTATAAGTAATTTAATTATTTATCCTAAGACGTTGTAACTCATGTATGATGTGGACACAATTAAGTAATATGCATTAACTGGCTCAGACCACCACTATTCACTTGACGTAATGTTCCCAGAACGTCGACGAAATCGTAAATACAATTTGGAACGCTTATCTTATGTTGTGGCTATATAGAGATTTGGCGAAACACACAAACACGACCTCGAGTTAAAACACGACTCAAAGCTGCAATTCTTAGTGTGGGAATATTATTTAATACTAAAGCTTACCTATTATATTTACGCAGCTAAACATTGTAATTATTATTATTATCTGGCCAAAATAAAAATAATAAAATGTGTTGTGTCAATTAACTATCCCCAACATGTACATGTATAAATTTCTACAACAAAGATGGCCGTGCAAGATTACGCTCGACCATCTTCATAAACTTCTACCTACCCAAGTCACACCTATTATACTCCAATGTTCCGCACCCACATTTAGTATAACATGAGGTGGCTCTCCGTGATTTTACCATACGTCTCGTCTAGTAACCACCAACTGCATTTTTCAATCCCATCTTTTCCCATTACCACCTAAATGCTTTATGTTCCTTTATGCATTGTCACACACCTCACTCTAGTTGCGTTGCCTCTTTTATTTTATCTGATGACACTCACAACAATGTGGTGCTGTCTTCCAGACTATGGGTTAAAAAAAGTAATATAGAAATACTAATACATGGGTTCATTGGTTAAGTTTGTACTTCTTTGAATAGTGACCCATGTAAGGCCCCATAAAAAATATTATTAGTTTATCACCCTATCAAAGAATAAAAACTGATGAGGAGGGAGGTTTTTTTTTTGGTTTTTTTTTTTGCTAATCCCGCCCCAATTTTACCGATGATCACAAGTAAATCAATGGTTAGGGACACGTATATAAAAAGTCATAAGAATGGAATCAAATTTATATTTAAAAATATGTTTTTGTTGTACCAGTAAACATATTTGCAAGAAACCCTGAGCTTTTCAAGTGAAAAAAGGTGGAAAAGGACCGTTTGAAATAAAAATATATGTTGATTGACAAAAAAAAAAAAAAAAAAAAAAAAAAAAAATCTGATTTTCCCCAAAACTGATGAGGGAGCGGGTGATAAACTAATAACTTTTTTTTATGGGGCCTAACGTCTCATCGGCCGCTAGTTTTATCTACTAGTGCTTTAGATTTTGGAACATTATTGGTTATTGGTGCTATGATGACTGCTAAGCTGCGTGACAAGTTGTATGAAAGGGATCCAAAAAATATAGGCCTATTATCGGTCAGAGTGGGTACTTTCCTTATGAACCTTCGGTGTGCCATATATTCTGGTATAAATTCAGCTGTGGGAAATAGGCCAGTAAAACTGGATTGTCATTTGGACTTTAATAATGTTCTCATTAATATCAAATAGCTGCATACGAACATCCAATGAAAGCCTTTAGCCACATAATGGGAAAGTTATTAAAAAGAGAACTTAAATGCATTCGTCAGAGAAGATTACCTGAATCGCAAGTCATCCGAGTGCCTTTTAGTTTGATTAAATTGGAAACATTCAAGGTCGCACACTTAAAAAAGAAAACAAGAATGTTATTCATTATTGAACAGATGAAATTTAAATGGCCTCATCCATTGATTCAATGAGCCATAAAAAATGTAGACAATCAACAAGGTTAGGAGTGTCAACACAATTTTTAACTAACATATTTTTAATTTATACTCTAATGAAGTGAAATCAAGCACACTATATCAATTTGGTAATTCAAATCTTACGGAAATTACATCTCAACATACACTATATATACAATTAAAGAATTGGGAGTGTGTTTACTAGGAATGAAATTGATACCTAGGTCTATTTATATGCAACGCCAAAAGGACAAATTACAAGTGGCGCAGTGCAAAAGTCAAGTGGCACAGTGCAAAACGAAAGTGGCACAGTGCAAAACGAAAGTGGCGCAGTACAAAACGAAAGTGGCGCAGTGCAAATCCAAATGCGTGTGCTGCTACTTGAATTTTGCACTGCGCCACTTTAGTTTTGCACTGCGCCACTTTACTTTTGCACTGTGCCACTTGACTTTTGCACTGCGATTGTAGTTTGTCAATTTTGGCGTGATATCGCGAAAAGGACAAACAACAATCGCAGTGCAAAACGAAAGTGGCGCAGTGCATAACTAAAGTGGCGCAGTGCAAAACGGAAGTGGAACAGTGCAAATCCAAATGCGTGTTCTGCTACTTGAATTTTGCACTGTGCCACTTGACATCTGCACTGCGCCACTTGACTTTTGCACTGCGCCACTTGACTTTTGCACTGCGCCACTTGACTTTAGGCGATATTGTATGGAACGCCAATTTTTGCATCAAAATTAAACTAAATAAAATAAATGAATAAAAAAATCAAGAACACATAATTCAATTTTTCATAACAATTTCACAGCAAAACAACAACAGCACCAAAATTTGGGACTAAAACACAAATAGGAACGTTATGATCATAGGCATACTTGTCGTAGATACCGTAACCTAGGCTTATCTATTCTATTCATCGTTACTACCGCTAATAAAGGCATATAGCACAGTTGTCAGCCATGGCTACTAGAGACAGATTAGAAGCTTTGGTAGTGATGGGTTATACAAATAAACAAATTGCTGAAGAAATGGAGGAAGCGTAAGCACCATAAAAAGCCTCCGGCGTAATTTCCGATTAAGAAAGAGTGACCTTTCGAGTGATATCAGCGGTAAGTTTTGAAAAAAAAAATCTGTTGCGTTTTGTTTCTACATCATTGCTAGGCTGGTCGGGGTAGACTACTACTATGCTAGGGTCGACGCAACCGACGGGGTAACTAGTTAGGAAGATCGATTCAATAACATGCATTTTCACATTGTATTATTACAGCTCAGATTGACATTTTCATCATTTAAATTTATTATAATTACACCAATAATATATACAGTAATACTTTTTTTTGGCAAATCAAAAATTAAAGGACACAACAGATTTATTTTTTAACTCAAGTAGATTTCTTCCTCTTTTTCCTGTTTACATTTTGACAGAATGTAACTATACGGTTTTTAAAGATTTTTTTAAACATTTTTCATAAATACAATTTCAATATTTAAATGAATATGATATTAGTTTTATTGTGGTCTTAGTGTGCGACAGCGATTTCTGATATTTATATATTGAAAAATAAATACTGTTTAGGCATTTTAATTATTCATATATTACTGTGGCCTTTAATAATAATATAATGATAATAATAATAATAATAATAATAATAATAATAATAATAATAATAATAATAATAATAATAATATCAAGTTTATTCTATAGACATAGACATTTAATGACTAAGGTGAATGGACACAAGGCTATACGTGCGATACTGTACCAACACTCATAATATCACATCCTCATTAAATTCATTAGTATTAAATATTAAACCTGTGTATTTCAGTATCCAATTGTTGATGTAGATGATTGAGGAATTGGATCCTAATTAATTGCATGTGTAAATGGTGATTTAAAAAAGAGATAAAACATACTACTAAAGTGGGATTTAATTTCCAGAAGAACATTCAATAAAAGAAAAAAAAATAATTCTCTTGGGCTACACTATACTTTTGCGAATGTGTATGTAATCATTGTTTTAGTTTATCTTTGCCTAAATATAGTTTGAGGGGTGGCAAAAGATATTGAATAATAATAATAATAATAATAATAATAATAATAATAATAATAATAATAATAATAATAATAATAATAATATAGGCCTACCTAGTAAAAATTAGTTAATTTCCATTTTAATGCCAAATTGGCATACAATATCGCCTAAAGTCAAGCGGCACAGTACAAAAGTCAAGTGGCGCAGTGCAAAAGTCAAGTGGCGCAGTGCAAAACTAAAGTGGCGCAGTGCAAACTCAAAATGCGTGTGCCACCATATTAGTTTTGCACTGCGCCACCTTAGTTTTGCATTGCGCCACTTTAGTTTTGCACTGTGCCACTTGACTTTTGCACTGCGATTGTAGTTTGTCCTTTTGGCACGATATCGCGAAAAGGACAAACTAAAATCGCAGTGCAAAAGTCAAGTAGCACAGGCCACTTTAGTTTTGCACTGCACCACTTTAGTTTTTCACTGCGCCACTTGACTTTTGCACTGCGACTGACCTTTGCACAGCGCCACTTGGATTTTGTCCTTTTGGCGTTCCATATATTTATACGCTTAAAAAATATAGTGGAAGTACGGGCGTAATGGGTAACATTTTTTAATGCAACGCAGCTCTTAAATGTTAAATTTGGTCAATGATAAAACACTAATGTTCACATACTACCTGCGTGCAGTTGCATAAACGATGTAATGAAAAATTGATTCCCACATTAACTTGAAAATTATTATTGATGGGATTGGTTATAGTATAAATGATGAGAGAGAGGGTATATATTGTGTTTCTTACTGAGCGTTAGGCCAAAAAAAAAAACAACTTGTTTTTATTTGGTTCTTTTTAGATAATAAACAATGTTTTAAATATGATAATAATAAAATACTATGAAGAAAAATAATAGGTTACGACCTACGTTTCAATTGGCAGATGTTTTAGGCCTAGCATACTGTAAGTACTACCTAACTAGGCCTAGACCTAGGCCTGTTGTAGTAAGTATGGCTAGGAATACCTGCCCCTCCAGCAGTTATCCTACGGGAACCACAATGCTTATTAAAATAAATATTGTACAAACAAATCTTTTATGTAAAATTTAGTGTCTGTTATAGCCTTTGTAAAAGATTTGGCTTGGCACCAATGCAGTTGAAATCTCTAGGCCTAAGAAGCCTACACATTAGGGCCTAGGGCTAGCTAGGCCAGCAAAAAAAAAAATCCTTTCCTTCCTTTCTTTCATGTTGCGTGGTAGTAAAAAAGGGAAAAAAGTGAAAAAGAAAAAGAAAAAAAAAACAAGTTATGAGCCCTTGAAGCTTTTTTCATGTATTTTTTAAGATGTGTCACTCATAAGCCAGTATTGGCTGGTCTTATTGTATTATAAGAGTGTGACGTTAATAAAGACAAAACTAAACTAAACTAAACTACGTACACCTAGTCCTATTATCTTTCAACAATATTTTATGTGTTTCTAAGAAAGAAAGGTGATTTTAAGACATAACCTTACAGCATTAGGCATTTACGAATCATCAACAATACAGATTCACAATCATCATACAGTATTGAACATTAAGCAAGGAAAAGATATGGATTAAAATATTACGTTCGAGTTTGATGACTGTGGTGACGATAACTGCCTCGTTATTGATACTTGCAAAAGCACAAAGAAGTGAATAACGTAATTCTTTTATTTAATTAACCTTTGGTTGATTTCATATATTCCCCTTTACGTACATTATTTATGTCATCATCAGGAATCTCATTCCTGAGGATATCTCATTCCTGATGATGACATTCCTGATGATGACATAATTAATGTCGAAATATTGAATCCCGACACGATGGCTTGCATTTCGGTATTTGAAGTATGTATTATACTATTATCTGAGATTAATCAGTGGACCTTTCGATCAATGTCTTGTAATTTTGTGGGATTCACAAATTACTTATTTCCACTAGAATCCCGTTCTATTTCTTCACTGATGTATATAATCATTTGTTTTATTCATTATTATTATTTTTGTCATTTATTAAACTTACAGTATCTTCATACTTACCTGTAAGGTTGAACAAATGTTGCATATCTAATGTATTTATTTTATTTTATTTTTGCTGTTTATTTGTATTATACTTTCAAAATTCTACTGAGCTTAGAGAGTGTTAATATCTACATCTTGGGTTCGAATGTTGATTTTATGTACGTTTTGGGTAACTTCCTTCTCAATACACATTTGTGTTTCGGTTTTATTTTCATAAAACTAATACTCTGTTAAAAACATTAAATTGTCGTCCGGCGTATTTGAAATATCTGGTCTAGGATGTTTTCTTTTGAATGGTCCTCATCCACACCCTACTTCGGATGGTCACCAAAGTGTAAACGTTTCTTCATCATTTCTCCATTGGGTTATACCTAACACTCCCTGTTATATTCAATTATGTCTGTGCAACCGTTATTTAGATGTAGAACGTCATGGTAAGTAACAATTTGTTGCATTAAATATATGATATGTGACATTCTTAATTGTATTTCAAATGGTAACTTAGAGTTTTAATTACGGTAAACGTTGTAAAGTGTAAAGATAATAAAAGTAATATAACAAATGTTTTAATAGAAAAAGAAATTATCTATTTAAGTTACAATCAACAAGATGTATAAAAATTTGTTTTATTATTTAAATTAAAAGTCAACAAATGGGTAGGTGAATAGAGTTGGTTTTAGATATAAGGGGTAATAATAATAATGATAATTTTGGCTTATATAGCGCATTATGCTAAAGCCTCAATGCGCTTAACAGTAAAAATAAAATTCGGGAAAAAAAATTAAGAAAAATACAAGCTAAAAAGGTGAGTTTTTAAAATCTAGATGTGTATAAGAGACAGTCCTAATACTGGGTATCCTCTTAACTATATGCCTACTGTTTCACTGTGTTAGTTATGCTTTTTAACAAACCAAGTCTAATGATGCGATTTAGGATGTGGAGTTGTAGTGAGAAAAATCATGTTGTTACAGGAATTAAACCCAGGACCATGTGATTAGAAGGCAAGCAACTTAACCACCAATATATTCCACTCCACTCCAAGTTAAAGTATTTTCATTAAAAAAAAATAATGAAATCATTTTATTGTAATAAAGTGACGTAAATTATAAACTGACGTACCGATTCATAATACAGTATTTCCGTGGTGATGAATGTATAATCTATTATTAAAAACACCTGAAAACTATATTAAAAGTATATTTTTCCTAAATAAAAAAAACTGTGATGAATTCTCAGTTCATAAAAAGTAAATAATGTTCTAACAAATCATATTCACAATGTCCTACAAAACAATAATAGAAGTAAACAGTTAAGTCAAATAATATATGTTCTTTGTTAATATGTGTTAATTATTAACTGTTAAATATAAGAGAGATGTATAAAACCAGTAGCCCTGTACATTAATATCTATTTTTTTTATTTGTATTTGTTAGTGAGCGTAGAGGAAATAAATATAGATTAACTTTTTTTAAATAGAATATTATTTTATCATTATCAATGAGATAGGATTTAAAACGTACAGCCTTAACAAACATTACAAGATCATTAAAAAAATAATTTTGTTCCTATAATGTAGTGTAGTTAAACTTTTATTGATGAATGAACCAAAAAAAAACATCGCAATTTTACCTGGACGTTTCTATCACAATCATTATGAACCTAGATCTAATTATGAAGCGCCGTTTCATGCACTGACACACTGGCTTACTGACCATTTTGTCGCCAAGAACCAGAGTATAAGTTGAAAACATGTTAGCCTGATACTATATATGCGTTAAATTGCAGTCCAATTCATCTATATTTTCATCATTAGTTTATTTCAATGTATAAAAAATAATAAAGTCTATTGGGGACAAAATTTTAAATATCGTATAAACCAGCAGAAGGAATAAAAAGTTTATATACATATAAACGTTTATTATAATAATATATGCCTATAATATTAATTAATTTCATAAATACTGTATGAAAACCATCAATGTACAAACATAATATATTGAAACATAAATTATCTCTTTTCTTCATATTTAATCTTTATAATGCATAAGTAATAATTAGGAAGAAAAATAAAATTGTAGTGTTAAAAAACAACTCTAGGCCTATTTTCCGTATGTCATACGATACCCAAATTAAATCATACTATTACATTGAACGTAATTCACCGAGCATTGCTGGTTCGTGGTAACGAAATAATTTCCTATGCCAGCCTAGTATTCTTATACTATACTACTACTCTATCACATAAAATATAACATAAGGGACTATAAAATTCATTATTACAAGTAAATACAGTTTTAGTACAGCAATCTCTATGTAGTTTCCTTAGCGAATTTTTCTTAAGGTTAGTAGATATCAGTTTCTTATTGTAAACCCTATCAAGAATTACATTAGTTACCTTAAGAGGAACATTTGTAAACAAAGATTCAACATCAAAAGATACAAATCGGTAACCTAAATTATATAAATTGTTTGGTATAGCTTTAATGCGGTCGGCAGTATCAAAAGAATCTTTAAGGACAAAATCATGAACCGTTAGAGGGCCTAATAAATTTGATAAGAACTAGCTACTGAATAATAACAAGTACCGGTCGTGTCAATAATAGGTCTTAGAGGTGGAATATTATCAAAATCTTTATGTAATTTAGGTAGTCCATGGGCTTTAGCAGGCATGGTTGATACTGGACGAATTTCTTTGTATTCAGTTTCAGTTAGTTCATTTCTATTAAATAGTGTCCGGAGGTAGGCTTGTAATTAGTTAAGTTGCGTGGTTAATGAACAGTTAGATAGTTTCTTAAACTTATAGTTGAATCAGAGAACAAGTTCGTCATAGATGTGATATAATCAGTTTTCTTCCTTATCGCAACACCATTTCCTTTATCAGGTTTAAGAATTACATATTTATTAATAAGATTTTTAAAGTATTAATACGTTTGGCATCACAATTTAAATTTCGGTTATCAAAGTCAAGAAAGTTTATGATGATCTGATTATATTTAATAGCCACATCACAAAACAATATGTTGCAGCATACCTTGAACTGTAAGACTGAATATTTATATACAAGATATAAAACTCCTAACTACAGTTCAAAAATTTACGAAGGAGAAAACATTACATTAAAAATATCCATAAGAACCAATTGCAAAAAAAAAAAATAAAAAAATAAAAATAAAATAAAAAATTATGTCACTAACATAAAAACCTAATAAACTTGGCTAAAAAATCTTGCACAGTGGGCTTCTACCAAAGACTGAACAGATTCTAGTCATAAAAATAAACTTTTTGGTAAATAGTATTTTGGTATCAATTCTTGCTAACGAAGTTGTGTGCAGTGGCACATGAATGTCTGCTCAAGGTATAGCCCCTAGTAAACCAAATTATTCTTGAATTTAGATGAATTTAAAGAAAACCCGTGATAATCTCATCTAGTTAAAGTCCTATTCCCGGCAAAATTTCGCTAAAAACAGATTTTTTTATAGAAAGGATGCATAAATTATGCATTACTCCAATTATTATAAATCATGGAAAAATATTGGCATACATTTTAGCTTTACGCAAAAGAATTAAAAAAATGGGAAATACAGACTATTTCTCATAGAATACTACCATTTTCTCATTTTCTCGAAAAAATTCTTCGTTACTAGGCAAATTTGGAGGTTGTAGATCGCATCCGCTGGAATACTCTCGCTTTTAAGTATACTCATGGAGGTATACTTTATACAGTCAATAAAGTGCGCCATCTCTAATGGGATTAGTTTTTGTACTTCCCATCTCGCACAATGTGGTCGTTCGATTAGGCCTGAGATATGTTTGTTTAAGTGTCAAAATCTCGGTCAGAATCAGTTTTTTTAACAAATTTGAAATAATTCCTATGAAATATTATATTTCACAAGTGTCAAGCAACGGAAAATATCATGTCGGCCGTTTTTATGTGTGATAACTGAACCTAAATCGAGGTAAGGCTAGGCCTAGCCTTGCAGTGTTGGATAGGATAATGTTTTCGGCGCCTACTACTATATTTCTTCGCACTACCAATCGCAAAATCAAACTTGAAAAATTCATCCGCATTTATTTTTTGTGTTCCACAATCAAATTTCAGTCTTATTTTACATTTTTTCATGCTTAGAAATGTCCAAATTTAGTTAAACTAGCAATTCCGTATTATATTTATAAATCTTTAAAACATTTTATTACAAAAATTAGATTTTTCTTAACAACTGAAATTTTGCCGGGAATGGGGCTTTAAGTTTAAATAAAATAGCACCAGACAGTAGTATTCCAAATGCTTGCCGTATTTCAATAGACAATGCATCCTTAACCCGTGCAATCTTTAATTGCATATTTGTTTTTATAGTTTACAATATATGACAAATCGTGTAAATATATATACAGTAGTCATTGTTATTTACATTGTAATCGATATCTATTCATTATGTTTTTTTTTTTAATTTTAATATCTTGCAATGTATTTATTCATGGAGGAATAAGCATTTCCAATCATCTAATTTACATTCTATTATTCACATGATTACATACGAAATGCATAATTTGGTCATTACTTCGAGTATAAACTTCTGTGTGCAGTTACATCAGTTTCAATCTGGCCCTCCTTATAAGAATTATTGTTTAAAACTAATTTTATTTCAAGTTAAATATTTAGTTTAGTTTGTTTTTTGAATTTTAATGTGTTGTATGGTTGCTAAGCTTAAGTTTATTTTCTTCTGTAAATGTTAATGTATTGTAATGAAATATTGATTTTCACATCAACTTGAAAGAGTTATAAATTTTGGCTAAAGAATCTTGTACGGACGGTCATATCAGGTTATCTTAAACCAGATTAAATGTATTGTAATGAAATATTGATTCCAATATCAACTTGAAAACTATTATTGATTGAATCGGTTATGGTACGACTGATGAGAGGCTATATTGCGTCGCTTACTGAGCTTTTGCTCAGTCTCAGTCTGTCTGGTAGTATACGTACAGCTAGTTCTGTCCTATATTTCAACAACATATACGTATTTCTGAGAAACAAGAGGGGATTATCATCAGCAACACAGATTCAACTTTCTTGCCTTTATACAATTGGAGTGAAATTAAGCAGAGAACTGTTTTGGAAAACAGTAGGCCGATTACACATTAAGCAACGATATGGATAAAAACTATACGTTCGAGTTTGAAGGTGACGGCGGTAACAATAACAGCCACAATATTTTAAGCGCCATCATTCTTGCTGCTGGATTCATAGCAAATTTGGTGGCTGTTGTTTTTCTGTACAAACACTTACAGAAGCACAAAGAAGCGAATCACATAATTCTTTTATTTACATTAATCATGGTTGACTTCATATGTATTGCCCTTTACATACTTCGTAGGATTTTGCGAAACTTTGTGTCATGTAATTTGTTTGGATTCACAAATTACTTATTTCCGCTAGCATCAGGGTCTATGTCTTCACTGATGTGTTTCGAGCGATGCATCTCTCTTTCGATGCCGTACCGTTACGGTAACTACTTTCAGCCCAAGAAAACTAAATTTTATGCTGTAGCCATATTAGGTTTGATGGTGTGTGTCAGTGCGCTACCATTCGTCGGAGTTGGTAGCTATGATAAAATATTTTTTGGACCTGTAAGTTTCTGCAAAAACTTCTATATTCCAAGTGATCCTGCCATTTACAATGTTCATTTTGCCCTATATAGTTTGTGTGGTTGGTCAATCGTTGTCATCGGCGCCGTTTCTAACATTAGAGTGGTTTACGCGATTTACGCTATGACAAAAATGCACGCAGCAGTAAATCTGAACCAAGCACCACAACTCAGAAACAAAGAAATAAAGAGGCAAACCAACATCGCTAAAACTGTGATTGCGATTTTCACTGGATTCACAATATGCTGGGTTCCTTGGCTTGTATGTCCGTATTATTTTTTCTTCTTTCATATCCTAATTCAGTTGTTAAACTCTGATAATGTTACAGACATATAAAACATAATACTTAGTCCAATAGCTTTCTATCATCAATTTTTATTATCATTTATTTTGTAATTTATTTATTAAACTTAATTTAATCTTATCTTCATATTCTGCATTAAATTTAAACAAATGGTGCTCATTTAATGTATTTTATCGCTGTTTATTTGTTATATACTTTAAAAATTGTACTGAGCATGGACAGTGTTATTGCTTAGGCCTACCTCTTGGGTTCGAAAGTTGATTTCATTTTTGTGTACGTTTTTGCTATATATCTTCAAGTTAAACTTGTTTTTAAATTTAATGTAATTTAAAGTACTGTAATTCCTGTGTTTTAGTTGTATGTTTCAGGATTATTAACTTTTTATAATACTAATACTGTTCTACAACACATTACATTGTAAGATAAAATTATTATGCCGCCAAATATATATTTTATTTTAGCAAACATTATTTGCCGAAGGAAACCAAAAACGGCGGTACCCTGACGACCATGGGCCTTCACATAACAACATTGCAGTTCATAGAATCGCAGCAATCACAAACCTATACAGAAATAAATTAAAGAGAGTACTATACAACTTAAAGATATAGTAAATGCATTATCAATGAATATTTCATGTATCTAATAACTATAACATATCTAAAATCTATAACAAAATCAATAAAACAAATAATTGTTAGAAAGATTATGAAGAATATAGGCCTATAATAAAGATAAAATAATAATTTATTGCATTTTACAACCATTAGAAGAACACCTCTCTACAATTAAAATATAACAAAGAAAGAAGTGAAGAATCAATAATAAGAAAAACAAGATAATAATTTATTGCATTAAATATAAACAGTTAGATAAATACATAATTTTATCAATCAAAAAACTGCTTCAACCGTCATTGACTTACTATGAGGACACTATATACAGTGTCACTTCATTAATGGCATGTTGTTTTTATTAATAATATATTTAATTTTTCAGGTGGTGTTGATAATTCTGAGAGCCGGAAAACTTGTCAACAATGATATTATCATTGTGACATCGCAAATGCTTTTGGCGAACCATTTAGTTGATCCGATTTCTTGGGTCTTGACCAGTCCAGGAATATATAAGGTCATAAGTACCAAGTTGCGTGTACTCTTACCCTGCTTTCAAAGGTCTTCAGTGTCTGTTGGTCCATTCGAGACGACTAATACACAAATAGCAATATGATCAAATATAACCATCACATTTGATATAAATTTAAACGTAGCAAAAGAAGAAAGTCTGATCAGA